CCCATCGTAATATTCAACTTTATTTCAAAATTAAATCATGAGCAAGAGAAGTTTTTTAAAGTCCTATTTTAACATTACATGTTTGAATCAAAATTACTAACTCACAAAATCATCCTGATAATTAAAAATAATCTTAGTGTTAAGATAAATGGAAATTTTTTTTAAAAAAAGTATCATATCTTGCGTAAGACTTCTTATTGTTGGGTTTTTGAGACGGTGAAGATATGTATATCAAGTTTTGAAAGGGGGTAAAGAAAATTAATGTGAAAGTACAGTCAATTTTTGAGATAGAATTTGCACAGAAGAAACAATTATATCGTATAAGTTACATATAATAACAAGTTACCATACAGTGTTGTGAAGATACTTATATTTAAAAAAACACAATTTGATTACACATATGGTAATAGTTACTTTGTATTTAGTAACGTTTTTACCAGAAATTCTGGTTCTCAAAATTATAGTTTTTATTATCACACATTTAGTAAAAATACGAAACTGAAAATTAAATTTTTACAAATAAAAGATTCCAATAAAAGATCAAAAAAATCATTCTATTTTAGAAGAACCTCAAAGCTGTAAATTTCTCAGTACAAATGAATTCGAGTTTAAATCCATTCTATAAAACGAGGGCTCTCTACATCTCCTTGTACAATCACGTGAAATTCGAGAGGCGCTATAGTTTTGCAATAAAATTCTGTCTTTGTCGAAATAGCTAATATTAATTTGCAACGTCGACCCATTTTGAATTTCTTAGGTTAAGATAAGAAGCCGCTACAATAATTGATATTTAATACTAGCCAAATCATGGATTTCTCAATCATTCTGAAATTTTTATAGAGTCTTTATTGGAGTATTTGCAATTTCAAGACATGAGGACGCTTATCCTCTATCAGTAGCCTATTGTTTTTCATTTTCAAAATTTTCCCTGTAAAAATTCCTTTTGAGAGTAATGCTGCAATATAAATATTATTAACTGTACTGTAAAAAATTCCGGATCATATTATGGTAAAAAGATACAGCATGCAGGGTGTTAGTACTTTTTACAGTAACATGTTATGGTAAAAATGGATTTTACGGATAAAAACTATTTTTATAAAAAAAATTTGAGCTTTCAGAACTTTCGTATCTTATTAAAAATATAACGCAATGATTTTACGGCAATTATTACTGTTAAATCATTGAATCACTCTACTTAAGTTAATATTACTGAAAATTTTACAATACAATATTTTACTGTAAAATGAATTTTATGGATCATGCATCTAAAATATCGGTACTTTATGCCGCAATTGATCCTGAATTCGTTTCAGTGCAAAGGTTCCAATGACTTTCTTTCTATGTTTATGTATATAATGCTTAATATATAGTCAGCTTGCATCATCATTATATACTTTTTTCATCAATTCTTATCATTTGTCCTCAGATTAAAAAATGATGTCGACTGATGTGTATTTCTTTCCTTCAATAGCCCTTCATGTCTCCTTACAATAAAATACTTTGGCTTCTTCAGTTTTTTAAAACCAAAAATTAAAAAAATTTTCTTTATTTGATTACTTTTGCTTCTTCAGTTTTTAAAATCAAAAATTAAAAAAATTTTCTTCATTTGATTACTCTTGCTTCTTCAGTTTTTGAAACCGAAAATTAAAAATATTTTCTTTATTTGATTACTTTTGCTTCTTCAGTTTTTAAAATCAAAAATTAAAAAAATTTTCTTCATTTGATTACTTTTGCTTCTTCAGTTTTTAAAACCAAAAATTTAAAAAAATGTCTTTATTTGATTACTTTTGTGTATTAAGTAAATAATCCCACGAAACTAAAGTGGTAAGATACTACTTTATTAAAAATTTCATTCCCTTCAAAAATATACTAATTGCAAATAACACTCGACATATTTCAACTGCTCAAAAACAAGCGCACATTAACTTGTTCTGTTTTTAATCTTTTTTTTTCTTTCTTAGCTAATGTGACTTTTCCATTTTTTTCTCAAATTTATTTTTCATGCGAGGCAACTTAACGTTTTATATTTCAAATATCTTTCGTTTCATCTCACTATCGTCTTTCATGTCTTGATTATGGACACCATTTTTCAATTGTTATATCCAATTTGCATATTTTTGAAGTGAATGAAGTTTTAAGTCAAGTACTACTTATGTATATCTTTTTAGGTATAAATTTAGAATTCATTTAATTCAAATTACTACCATAGACACCTCGTAGTGGTTGATTTTACATCAATAATCTTTTGTTCTATGCAGTGAAATAATTTTCACTTACTAAGTCTCTAGCATCATTCCTGAAAACTTTTTAATTCTCTAATTCTCACTGTTATTGATTTTATTACATACGCTGTTGAGACTCTTAAAAGCAAAACTTCACCTTCCATACAATCATCAAAGCTATATAATTAGCTCATTATAAACAGGTAGAAAACGTGCATGCGGATGAGTTATTTCCTGAGTACTGTGCAGAAACTAAACAGGGTCTTTGTCAATAATCTCATTAATTAAACTAACGCTTCATTACCAGGCAGCACAGCTTTCACTGCCAGTTTATTTTTGGAGTGAACATATGAATTTTTAGTCTCGTTGGTATGTTGAAGGGGTATGTCTAAAATTTCTGAGCCACTGTTATACATGGCCATATATATATAT